AAAAAAAAAAAAAAAAAAAAAAAAAAAACCAAAAAAACAAAAAAAAAAAGATTTTAATAAAAAACAAAAAAAAAAAAAAAGAGAAGGGGGGGGGAAAAAAGGGTTCTCTTTCTTCCCGGCTATAAAAGGATAAGACAGGCTGAGGGAGGAGAAGGACTACTGGATTAAACTATCTCAATGTATGGCCAATGCCACCACCTCCTTTCCGATACTCCTCCTCCCCCTCTTCCCCCTCCTCTTCCTCCTCGTCCCTGGGCTTGCCCCTTGCCCTTCCCTTCCTCTCCTCCCTCCTGACACTCTGACATTTATGTTCTAGGGTGGAAATGACGAAAATCGGCGGGAAGGTTACCTCCAGCTCGTGTGTGTGTGCGGGAAATGATGAGGAGCAGGTGGTGAGCGAGAGATTCGTCATGTTCACAACAAGTGAGGACCGAGCGGACTATCTGCTGGATCGCCGACGAGAGCAGGAGGAGGGGGGGAGGATAGGGGAGAAGAAGGGGAGGAAGAAGCGATGAAAGAGGGAGTACAGCGGATTTTCGCTCAAGGAGGTTGTGGATTCTTGTCGAGCAAGATCCCTCCATGGCATTTTATTCATTGACACATGACATGATCAGCATGGATTTCTTTTGTCATTTTTTGTTCATTACTTACAAGTTCTACCAAGCTCAAGTGGGTATGCCGTCTGACTATTATCAACTCCTTGAATATCTCTGCTCTGCTCTCTTTTCTCTCCTCCTTCCAGCATGCAGGCATTTCATTGCCTCTGCAGCATCCTCGAAGAATGCATGTCGCTTCTTCCTCCCGCAGATTCTCTCCTCTCCTGCTGCGAGCACTGCTCCTCTCCCCTCGACGCGGTCCATCCTCCCCCCTCCCCCCTCGACCTCATCGACGACGATCCACTGCCTCCCTCTCTCTCTGTCTTCCTCCTCTTCCTCCTCGCCTCCTCCTCCGCCTCCCAGTGACCAGCAGGGGCTCCTCTCTCCTCGTGCAAACTGCTGGTCGACAACACAGGAGGAGGGAGATGGTGGGAAGAGGAGGAAACATCCTGCGGGCAGAGGAGCGGGGAGCAGCGAGCTGGAGGGCTTCGATGACCTGCTTCCGTTGTCTTCCTCTTTGGGATTGAAGGCAGGGACGCGCTGGGGGAGGGCGAGCAAGCAGCAGCTCCGCTGCCTCCTCCGCTGCCTCCCTTCCTTACCATCCCCGCGTATCCAAGGCCGGGAGGATGCTGGACGACCCCTCCCTTCCTCACAGGAGAGGAAGAACGAGCAAGAGGGGAGACGGAGCTCTGAGCCTGGCGAGAGGAGCTGCCGCGAGCTAGAGGAGCGGCAGAAGAGCTCGCCAGGGGGGACGCGGAATAATGATCCCTCCACTTCCTCCACTGCTCCTTCTCTTGTCTCTTTCTTGCCACTTCCTCCTCCATCCTCTTTGCCTCCTGTCGAGTAGAATCAGAACCCTCCCGTCCTCCGAGAGTCTGTACCGACTCCTTCTTCCCCCGTTGCAACTCATCCGCCTCAGCAAACAGCTTCATGATGTTTTCCTCGGAAGCCATGCACTCCCATTGCTTCATGCTTGGACCTCCTTGCATCCTGTCCTCTCCCCGCACCTGCTGCTGCTGCTGCTGCTGCTGCTGCTGCTGCTGCTCCACAGACTGCGTCACACTTTGCCTCCTCAATCTTATCCTACTGAGACAGGCCTGTGAATCAGCGTCAGAACTTCTCCCTCCTCCTGGCAGTAGCACCTGACTGCGTGCTCCGACCGACACGCTCGGGTTCTGACTCATCCTTGAGGGCTCCTGCTGCTGCTCCTCCCTTCTCCTCTCGGTTCTTGCTCTCTGTTGCTCGCTGTCTCTGCTCCTCCCCTCCCCTCCATTCCCACCGCCTATTAAGGTAGCCTGACTGATTTCAGCGTTGTTCTCCTCCTCCGCAGCGTCGTTCGCGTCAAGCTGCCCTCCTTCAGCCCTCCTGTCTGCCCCCCTCCTCCTCGTTCCTTCCCTCTCACAGGAGCCGCAGAACCAATCTCCTTCCGGGAGGCTCGTGCTGTCTTCGAGGCCCAGGCAATCGAGGCAGAAGTCCCGTTGACACTCATCACACTCCACCAGCATCCCTCCTCTACAGTCGTAGATCATCCGCTCGCACAGGCAGCAGCTCGAGTTGTTCACGGCATCCTCCTCGCTGTCCTCGGAGAGCTCCTTCCGCTCCTTTCTCCTCGAGATCTTCACTGTCCAGCAGCTCGTCCCCTTCATGCACACGACCTCGAAGAAATCGCCGCGGCACATGGGGCAGCGGTTGTCCCTTTCCTTCCCCCACTTGACGATGCAGTCGGCACAGAAACGTGAGTTGGAACAGCAGGCTAGCAGCCCAACAGCCATCGAATCGCTCAAGTTTTCCATGCAGATCGGACATTCGTCTGACATCCTTCAGCAACAAGTCAGACAGCAACACCATGTCGTTTCTGCATCTACAATCTCCTCCAAACGGATGAAAATCCACAATCAACTGCATCTTTCTTCTCTGTCCGTAACCCCCCCCCTCCCCCCCGTACCTCCGTCCGTCCGTCCGTCCCTCCCTCCGTTCCTTCCCCCTCCGTCCCTCCGTCCCTCCGTCCCTCCGTCCCTCCTCTCTCCTACTTCAATGTCTGCTTCCTGGTGGTTTCGTGGGTGCCGTTTTTCGTTTTAAAAGTCTGACCTTATGATGCCTTGGGGAGTGGTACTCTTTTAAAAACCATTTTATGAAGTATTCCCATACAGCGATTGTGATGTCGTACAAACATACTGTATGCATTTACAAATGCACTCCAGTAACTTTAAAACGTTTTACAGTTTTTGTAGGATAACTCCGAGGAGGAGGAGGGAGGAGGGAGGAGGGAGGAGGGTTGGAGACGGCGGTGCTTCATGATGCAGGATGATGAAGATGAAGCAGCAGATGGAAGCGTTGAGTCTCTACCTGATGTAGATGTTGAGTTTTGAAAGTTTTTGTGGATTTTTTTTGGCTAGAACGACGCTATTGCAATGTGCAGAACTTCATAGTGGTTCCGTTTATCCCTTCTGTACTGTTTTCCTCGCGCCCCGAGCTCGGAATAATTGATATGGCCACGAAGTTGATTGGTTGAAGCAGCAAACTTCGAGGAGGCAGGACGTCAAATGCTGGCCGAGGCAATGGATTCACCTAATCAGGTACAAACAGGGATCCAGCGGCTCGCGGCATGTTTGAATTGCGATGCAGGAGCAGGTCATCCATGACTTCAAAGGGTCTAGGTGGACGGTGCTCGTTTCTATTCCCTTCCTCACGTGGAGTTGCAGTTCAAGGTTCAGCAGGAAGCTCCGCAGAGAGAACTCGAAGCGGGAGGCGCAGGAGCTTGAGGAAGGTAGGCGTATGCTCTACTGCCGGGTGTGGATGACGATGAGAGTAGCGAGCTCTCCGACCCAGACGCGAGAGGACCATGAGTTCTTCAAGTGATGCAGCCGGCCATGCGGGGTAGCGACCGCCCTGACTGCCTTCCCTGCAGGAACCTGGAGGTTGAGCTGCTGCTGGGGGAGGATGGCTTGATGCAGGTGGAGGGAGGGAAGGGTGGGGGGGTTGGAGGCGAGTGACGGGGGGCACGAAGAGCCCGACGGGGAGCGACAGGGAGGAGAGCGTGGGAGATCAGCACCCGCTCGAGGACGTGCAGAAGTTTTCGGGCTCAAGGTCAGCTGGGCCCTCTGGTGGGCACCGACGCCCCTGACGCTGCAGCCAGCCATCGCTATGCGCGCAAACTCCGGAGGGAGGCCTCGATAGAGAAGGCAAAGAGGCTGCAGTGCTCGGCTCCCGATGCTGGTTCGTCCCTCCTCCGTTTGTCCCTACCTCCCTCCCTCCCTCCCTCTCTCCCTCCACACTCCCTCCCTCCCTGCCCTCCACTGAGGCGGCTCTCGCAGTGAACGCCAGCGAGCATGCGACGACGGCAGACGAGCACAAAGCGTTCAGGTGACTCTCTGCCCCTCCTCCTGCCTCTTGTCCTGAGTGCTGGAAGCAGAATGGAGGAGGAGATGCTCCTGGGCTCGAGCCCCGAGGTGAGTGCGGGGATGGGAGAGGGAGGATGGATAATGTTGGCCCAGTGCGATCGCGGAGGATCCAGACACTCGGTTGAGGTTAGCAAACTTCAGAGTTTTGCTGGCTCAAGGTGAGCAGGCGCATGGAGGGAGAGGGAAGGAGGGGAAGGAGGAGGAAGCACAAGAGGAGGAGGAGGAGGAAGCGACATGAGGAGGAGGAGGAGGAAGCACGAAGAGGAGGAGGGAGGAGGAGGAGGAAGCGACGAAGGAGGAGGAGGAGGAGGAGGAGGAGGAGGAGGAAGCGACGAAGAGGAGGAGGAGGAGGAGGAGGAGGAGG